CAAAATCTGGGTGCAAAGTGTGCTCATTGCAACTTGAACATCATTATTTCCTGGACCTCTCAGTTGACAAAGCTGAGTAAGAGATGTATGTTTATGTACATACACAGGTCTGTCTGTATGTACATAGATATATACATATCCATCCATCCATCCATCCATCCATCCATCCAACCAGTTCATTCTAATACTGCAATTCCAATATAGTACTGCATAGCTTAATCTAGTTTTTCTCCTTTCCATATTTTTAACTCTCCCCTTTGACACTGAGAAACTTGACTCCCATTATTAACAATATATTTACCAATTTATTCAGTCCTAGAATTCACAGAAAGTATTTTCAGAATTGCTAATCCCTATGTCTATTAAAAAAATCTACTCAATATTTATTTGTAGTTCTTTTAGTCCTTTAGCCTGAAGACATTTAATCCAAAAGCTGCATACAAAATCTACTTGAGGCAGTTTCTTTTCAGCCCTTTCTGTCCACATACTTCCAACTGTACCCTCTATGTTTGCTCCATATCTCATTTCTGTCCCTGACCCACCTGGTTTTTAAGTGCAGGGCCTCTCTGAGGCACCAGAGCACCTGAGACCCCTTCTCCATGGGTCATCCAGGGCTAGGCTGGGGCTTCCTCCTCCTCCTGGCTCCATTAGGCACCATTCCTCTGTCCTCTGGGCAGTTCCAGAAATGTGTTCACTCATGCCCCCTCCCAGTCCCTTTGTGGTTAAGGAATTATTCATCATTAAGGGGTCCTTCACTATCATTTTAATGGGATCCTGGGAGAGAAAAAAGATGCCTTATGCTCCAGTCTCCTGTCTTGAACCTAATACATGAACATTCTGGAATCAGAAAGATCTGGGTTTGCAAACTGAGACACTGGTAAGCTCCTTGAGTTCTTCAGATCTCAGATTCTTCATTTAAGACACAGGGGTGAGGAGGCCTACATCACATGGATTTGGTGAGAACTGAGCAAGACCTTATATGTAAAGTGGCTGACACAGTGTCTGGCACCATGTTCAGTAAATGACACCTGTCATTGTCCCCGGGATGCAATTCCCATCAGTTTGGCCACTGATTTATCCACTTACTCCTTCAGGGCACACTAAATGCTGGGCATTGCACAGAGTCCCTGAGTATAAAAGGGGTAGGGAAGTCAAAACTCTGAGTGCGGTTATCTCAGCAGTCAGTCCCTGAGCCAGAAGTGTTCTTGGCAAGATCCAGCTTCTCCTGGCCTGGCTTCCCTTGGTCTTAGGATGTGCTTTTGGCCTGGGACTTTGACATTTCTTCCCTGGCCTGGAGTCAAATGCCTATGGGGAGAACCTCCCCAAGCCTTGTGCCAGTGTGCCTCCACCAGCCCACTGTTCTCATGCTGAGGAAACGTGATTGTCTCTGATGGGCCTGAGCGATGGATGAGCTGAGGATTTTGGTAGAGCGAGGCCAAATCCCTGTGTGGCTCCAGGAATGAGGATAAATATAGCCCAAGTAATTGCTCATGCTCTTTTAAGGACTAAAAGTCAGCTTCGGGCAAGCTGTGAAGCTCCATGACCAGGACAGCAAGGGACACAGTTCCTTTTTTTAGAGCTGTGGTCAGCACTCCTTGTGCACTGCTGGATCCTGGGCTCTGTGATGCTGCCCCCACTGAATCAAAGAGTCACCTTCACTAGCCTATACCTCATGAGGGCGGGGATGGGTCTGAGGTGTCCCTACCACACCCCATTATCCAACCCAAAGTCTGGCACACTAAAGGGACTCAGTAAACATTTTAAATGAATAAATGAGCAGTGAGAGGGCTATATTTAAAAATAACATTTAGAATAAGCTCTATAGCCTTGTTAACAGTAATGTACCAATGTCAACGTTCTGGTTTTGCTATTATACAACAGCCATGTGAGATGTCACCACTGGGAGGAAGCTGGGTGAAGGGTACGTGGGACTGGACTCTTTGTACTATTTTTGCAACTTCCCATGTGTCTGTAACCATTCCAAAATAAAAAGTAAAAAAAAAAAAAGAATAACCTTTAGTCAGGCGTATACCCATACTCTTTGACATTTGGAGGAGGTGGTGCTGAAAGATGAATTGATGAAATCCCTGTTCACGGCAATGTTTTTGTTTCATTATTTATCTTTAATGTAAACACATGATTTATTCTTACAATTCAAAACTTTATGAATAAGGTAGACAGTGGATACCCGTTCCCTCCTCCATGTTCCCTCCCCATGGGCGACTAAGGTTAATGTTATTTGTTTCTTGTGCTAATTTTAGTGAGATCGTGTATACACACATGTATGTACTTGTGTGTATGTGTGAATATAAGAATATTTGTGTGCATATTTATATACTGTTATGTTATCTTACTTTTCCATTTTTCCATGTACCTTGGAGGGTTTTAATATCAGTACACAAAGAGCTTCCTTATCCTTTGTTATGGCTGTACCCCATCATCTTCTATGGTTCCAAACTGTCGGACATCCATGTTGTTTCCAATCTTTTTGCTTTTATGAAAAAGTTGCAATGAATAATGTTGCTCATTTGTCATTTCCCAAGTGTGGGAGTGTGTTTGCAGAATAAATTCTTGGAAGTGGAACTGGGTCAAAGTGCATCGGTCTTATAATCTTGATAATGCTAATTGCTTTCTATAGAGCTTGTTCCATTCTACAAACCCACCAATGAAGTTTTTTATGCAATGCTTGTGTTAATGAAGTGATTTTAGAAGTTATTTGGTGACCTCTTTGGGAGTCTGGTGAAAGCTATGGGCCTACACACGAGAGAAACACAAGTCACACAGTGTTTTGCATACAATCTCAGTTGGCTCGAAGACCCTTGAAGGCTCTCTATGAACCCTCGTTTAAGAAACGAGGAAGACATACGGTACAGGGGAAAGCTTTAGGGTCAGACGATGTAAGTTCACATCTTAGTTCTACAGCTTACTGGCTGTGAGACATCAGGCAAGTTGTTTCACCTCTTCAAGTCTCAGTTTCCTTTTTGATGGAAACACACAATAATTCTATTTAATAGAGCAACTGTGAGGACACATGCATACACGTATGTAGAGCATCTAATATAGTGGTCGGAACAAAGCAGGTGCTCAATGTACAGTTGTACACACAGACACGCATGCACACATGCATGCATGCACCCTCCCTCACACGTGCACAAACCCGGTGGCTCCATTTCAGCCTATGTTTCTGGTTGTCTCTGTAGTAACTCCCACTGGATTCACAAGATCAGTTTTTGGAGCATTGTTCCCAAAGTGGAGTCCTTGGACCAACAGTATAAGCATCACCCGAGGGCCTGAATTAAAGAGCAGATCCCTGGGTCCCACTTTAGCTATGTGGAATTAACATTTCTGAAAGAGTGGTCCAAGCAGCTTCACACTGGGGATTCTAATGCTGTGCACTGGATGAAGTTGGAGCAACAGTACTAAAGAGTTTGGTAAATTCCTTCTAGTATCTGTGCCTGCAATAGGAGTTAGCACCATGTAGCTTTGCCAGTGGGAGCCTGTACCCCAGTCGATGGTAGGTGTAGACACTGGAGAAAAAGCATGATTAGTATCCAGGACAGTCTCTTCTGGTTCCATCTATAAAAATATAATTATTTATGGGTGTGACAGGCAGCATGCACTGCATTCCCATCAGGAATTTCTCTCATAATAACCAGGGAGGAGAGATAGTCCAGGACCACATGCCTGTGGGCCAGGATCGGTGCCGGTCATGACTGGGATGACTGATCCACGGCCAGGAGCGGGGATAAGAACTGCGCACAGCCAGGCAGCATCACTAGGGGGCTTGGGGCCACAAGCCTTAAAGCACAATCCTGAGAGCTCTCAGCACGACTGGTGAATACATTCTGGGTGACATTGGTGGCCCAAGGCTGGAATTGCCAGATTTAACAAATGAAATATAAAATGCAAAGTTAAATTCAAACTTAAGATTAAAAAACCCTTATTTTTTAGTATAAGTATGTCTTGTGCAATACTTGGGACATACTTATACTAAAAAAGTTATGTGTTGTTTATCTGAAATTCAAATTGAAGTGGGCATCCTTGTTTGCTCTGGCAGCCCTACCCACGGCCTCTCTGATCTGAGCTGCCTCTAACCTCAGAAGAAGGCTGGAGCCCCCAGGTGACTGTGCACTGCACTCAAGGTCACTGAGGAAAGAGTAAGGACAGGGTGTGGACTTCTAGAAGACGGGGAGCCCTTCCTCACCTGTACTTGGGAAGGAGCAGGACACAAATGTGTGCTGATTGCCATCTGTGAGTTGCTAGTACTGTGCTAAGCCTTTCAATATTTTTTCATTCAATTCTCCTGCAACCCTATGAGTCAGGTAATAGTAATAGAGAGAATAGTAATCACTACTATTCTCCCTTTAGAGATGAGGAGACTGAGGCTCCTTGATGTTAAGATGACAGGGCTGTTGAGCAGAGGAGCAAGGATTGAAGCCCCTGGGGCTGATGCCAGGTCTCCGATTAGCTGAATCTCCCAGACCTTTCCCTCTGGTAATCCCAAGGGTTTACTTACGGTGGGAGCAGCCCCCACCCCCAAGTCCCCAGGACAGGAAAAGTTCCCAGTTTCTCCTGGCTCTAGGCCAGGGTCTTGTCCAGGCTCACAGGCTTGCTGAGGATTCCAGGCTGGGAGGCAGATCTGCAGAGCACCCTTGGTCCCAGTCTGGCCAGGACAGTGCCCAGCGGCACGAGCTAACCATGGACATAGCCATGCGCTGTGTGGGTGCCCATGGGAGGGACCCAGGGCAAGTTGCTGCCTCGAAGGCCCAGTCTGCCCTGAGACCTGGGCCAGCCTGCTCAGCTTCCCTGCCTTTAGCCCCTGAGCAGGGCCAGAGGGTGCTCCCGCAGGAGCTCTGGGCTCTAAGTCCCAGCCCCTTGGAGGAGGCGGGCGGCTGAGGCTCCGCAGCCAGAGGCTTCTCAGCTCTGAGCTCCGGAGCCAGATGTAACATTGACCTTAAATGGTAAAAGCTCCCCAGAGTGAAGAGAGGCTGGCCAGAGGAGGAAAGGGGGAATAACTCAGTTTTAGGTAAGTCGTGTTATATCCAAGAATAACCTGCCTCTTCAGCTGGGAAGCGGAAGGAAACTTCTCCTCCTTAAAGGTACAGGGTGCTGGGATGGGGGTGCCTGACTTTAACTTTCCGGGGGTGTTGGCTTTGTTGGGTGACATTTCTGCTGACTATTTTTATGCCCTAATTTTTAAAAAAGTGAATCTTGCCAGTCCTAACTTAACTAATTCATGCTCCTTTAGCTTGCTGTTGGAAAGAGCACACAGGTTAGGGTGAAGTGTGGGTTCTGACAGGACATCCCCACTCCCAGGTTTCCCATGGGCCCCTTTGGGGCCACAGAGTGTCCCCAGATGATGCGAGCCGGCACTGCCTGCTCTCCCTCTCCCAGCCCTGCTCTGCTTACTGTGCCTCTCTCTGCACTCCCAACCATCCACCCCATTCTGCCCTCTGTCCCCCTTGGTCCCTGTGCCGTTCCAGCCCTGTCTCCATCCTTGACCTGACCTGGTTCTGTTCCTGCCCCTCCTGTCCTGAGCCCCTATTTTATCTCTGTTCCCATCTCTCCTTCTGTGTCCAGCTTTACCCCCCTGAGCCCTCTTTCTGCTTCCTAGAGGGGAGGTCTGCCCCAAGCTCCACTCACTTCCAGGAGCTCCGTGTCAAATCTGTTCCTGGAGTGAGCAGCATTCCGCCCGGCTTTCCCCAGAAGAAAGGCCAGCAGGAGCCAGAGGGACAGCCAGCTGTCTTGTTCCCTCCTGCCCAGTAATCAGCTGTAAAGTCGAAAGACACTCTGCAGCCTGAGTAACACTCTGCAGCCTGAGTAACGTGTGGGGTCTGGCACCCTGGCAGCCACTCCTGCCTCCCAGAGCTTTGCAGTTGCTGTCTTCTTAGCACTCTTCAGGCTGCTCTGTGGGAGTTTCAGTGGGAAGTAAAGTAGCCCTGGGTTTGTCCGAGCTGGGTCTCCTGCAGGAGAAAGAAGGAATGCTTCCCAAAACTGTGAGGCTGGGAACACTAGGGAGTCACAGCCTGCTCGGGACTATGTCGTGCCCACCAGAGGGCAATGACAGGCTCGTAAAACAGGTGGAGTTATCACCCCAACATCACCCCAACACTTATGGGGAGGAAGCTCAGGTTAAGTGACTTGCCTCAGGTCAGACTGCTAAGGTCAGAGCTAGGACTCTCACCCAAGTCTGTATGACTTTAACTCCAGTGCTCCTGCCCTGCGTCACTGGTGTGAGTGAGCATCCCTGTGCTTTGAACATGTCTTGTGAGTTTTGACCTAATGGACAAAACAGTTGTCATCGTTATGTTTGTTTGCTCCACAATTCAGTGGTGTGTGTGCATGCGAGTGCCTGTGTGCGCATTTGTGTGTGTGTGTGTGTGTGTGTGTGTGTGTGTGTATCCACAGCAGATGTACCTTCCTGTACCCTGTGCAGTAGAGGACACTCCTGCATTCTCTCTAAGAGCATCTGTCACCTGAGGGGTAAAATCGTGTCAGTTGCTACAACATGATCAATGACTCCCATTAACATATTTCTGGAAGAAAGAAAACAAGTGAACACGCTGTTCTTACTATGCATCAGACACTGTTCTAAGTACACCCCATGTAGCAATTCAAGACTTCCACAGCTTTACCAAGCAGGGATCACTATTGCTACTCTCATCTTGTAGATGGGGACATTTTAGCACAGAGATGCTGCACAGCTGGCCTTTGATCCCAGGCAGCCCGGGGTCTCTGGAGGCTTTCCTCTTAAGCACCATGCTATGTTCATCTCTGCTTGGTACCAGGGCAGTGGGGGAGGCATCGTCTCTTCCTACACTCCACCTGAGTGAGGTTTTCTCCGTGTGATATCGTGGGCTCTTCCCAGTAATGCTGTGAGGGATATAGCTTCGCTTCAGTTTTATAGGTGAAAATGAAAGTTAAGTGACTTGCCCAAGGCCACCCAGCCACCAAGTGACAGAACAGGGGATAATCAGGACTATGTAATATCTTCTGCTTGAAACTAATTCCCGGGGGGTCGTGGTTTCAGGGTGAGGTGCTCCGCATGTCTCTGTAAGAGGAAGCTGGATTCTGTGTCTGATGGGCCGAACTACTCAGCTCGGCTGAGTAGTTCTCAGCTCCCAAACAGTCCCCACCTCTTTCCCCTAAGTGTGAGTAATAAACATAGATGGAGGCAGCCCACCCCTCCACCAGGAGTGCAGACCAAGACCAGTGAGGGCACAGACCCGTCTTGCTCCCCATCGTGCGTCCTGCACCCAGAATGATGTTGGGAGAGTACCATGCTCAAGATCTTTTTTTTCTTTTGAAGAAATGGACATAATGCCTATAAAGTATGTTCTGGTTAAACAGGCTCTGGAGTTAGAACATATTGGGCTGGCCAAAAAGTTCATTTGGTTGTTGCTGTAACATGGCTCTAGTAGCACTTAGTTGTCTTTAATTTCATTCAAAACAATTTTGTTAGATTGTATTGTGACAGCTATCATATCAGCATGCATTTAAAAAATCCTTATCAAAATTGGTGAATTTTTGTGTTGTCATTTTAATATTAAAGATGAAAGAAAATATGCAACATTTTTGGCATATTATGTTTTATTATTTCAAGAAAAGTAAAAACACAACTGAAATGCAAAAAAAAAAAGCGATTTGTGCAGAGTTTGGAGAAGGTGCTGTGCCTGATACAATGTAGTTTGCAAAGTTTCGTGCTGGAGATCTCTCACTAGATGATGTTCCATGATCGGATAGACCAGTTGAAGTTGGTAATGATCAAATTGAGACATTAATTGAGAACAATCAACATTGTACTACATGGGAGATAGCTGACATATTCAAAATATTTAAATAAATAAAGTTATTGGTGAAATTGAAAAACGTGTCTTTTATTTTAGGGGAAAAAAACTAAATGGACTTTTTGGCCAACACATTATGTAAGCCTGATGATGAGATTCCTCTAGTCTGGCTGGACCGAATGCAAGGTGGGGGTCTCAAGTAATCCACCCACTGCCTACCCCACCACCTCTCCTGGGTGGCCCTGTGGAACCTCCAGGCTGCCCCTCAGCCATCCTCTCCGTGGCTTGGCAGTCTGCAAAGGGATTTGTGTGCTTACTGAAGAGGAACAGAGGTGTGGATGAATGGGGAAGGGAGAGCTGGAAGCCCCAGACTCTGCCCCTGTGCCTTGGGGAGGTCGGTGAGTTGGGAGAGAGAGATGAGAACTGAGTTCTTGTGTAGTAAATGTAAAAGGAAGGAGGAGAGAAAATCAATATAAATTGAGTCCCTACCTTGTGCCAGGATCTGTGCTGGAACTGTTATTTCATTTCATCCTTGTGTTAGAAACCGCTACTGGGAGAAGTGAGGTGACATGCCCAAGGGCACGCAGCTGGTAGGTGGTGAGCGCAGGTTTTGAGCGCAGGTTGCCTCTATCCAAAGCAGGCACTTCCCGTGTTAGATGTCACCCTGTCTCCAGTTAGTAATTTGGCTCTCAAGGCAGTTATCAAATGTCACAGTCCAAATGATGGAAAACTCAGGAAAAGAGGGAAAGGGGATACTGTGTTTGCCCCGTGGACCTCGGCAGCTAATCTCTGAGTTCGGGAGACAGTCCAGCGCACCCTCACTGGATGGGCCCTCAGACCCAGAGCCTTAGCAGCGGCCGAGTGAGCGCGAATGAGCCCTGCGTTCTGCCTGAGGGCCTTCTCCAGAGGGGAAGGAAAACAGGTGCCGGTCAGCCAGACAGAGAGCCTCTCGCCCAGTCGGCCACGCCCGTGAAAACCAGTTTGTGAAGGCTGGGCTTAATCAGCTCTGCTTGGTTTCTTCCTAGTATTTTTAATTTATAATTTTTATTCAAAATGTTCTGATAATAAAAACAATGAATGTATTGAATGTTCTTGGAAAATATGGAGATTAGTATAAATAAGAAATTTGGAAAAAAACACAAAGAAATAAAAAAAATCTTTCCAGAATCCTTTTACTCTGAGATAAATATTACTAATAATATGGTGTGTTCCTATCTTTCTGTGCCTCTATATTTTATAAAACTAGGGTCTCACTATATGTAGTTTTATAGTCTACTGTTTAAAGATTTTTAAAGGCTTAGTTTTTTAGAGCAGTTTTAAGTTCACAACAACATTGAATAGAAGGCACAGAGGTGTGGTAGGCCGCCCCGGCCTCTGCCCACGCATAGCCCCTGCCCTGCCCCCGTCCACACCCCATCCACACCCCTGCGCACCGGAGTGGCACCGCTGTCAGTTGCAGCGGATGAACCCACACCGGCACATCGTGCTTATCCAGAGTGCATAGTTGACATTGGGGCTCATTCTCCGAGTTGTGCCGTCTGTGAATGGAGACAAAGGCATGATGGCATGTGTTCACCATTACAGTATCACCGAGTATTTTGTTCCGTTAAAAACCCTCTGTGCTCCACCCAGTCGCCCCTCTTCCCTTCCTAACCCATAGCGAGCACTGATCTTTTTACTGACTCCATAGTTTTGCCTTTTCTAGAATGTCAAGTCATTGGAATCATTTAGTAGGTGGCCTTTTCAGATTGGCTTCTTCCACTCAGTAGTACGCAGTTAAGATTCCTCCGCGTCTTCTCGTGGCTTGATAGCACGTGTCTTTTTAACATTGAATAATATTCCACGGTCTGATGGACCACCGTTTATTTATCCACTCACCTAATGAAGGACATCATAGTCTACTTTTTTTAAGTGAGCATTCTATCATGATCATTTTTTCTGTCCTTGAAGATACTTCAATGCATGATTTTTCAATGGTTGTCTAGTATGGAATAATTTTAGCTGTGCAAAAGTTTAATCATCAGTCCTCTCGTGAGGCATTTACAAATGTGGTTTTCTCTGGGGACAGTCTGAGTGGCACACGCACGATGGCCTTTCCATAAGTTTATGGAGTTTGGAAACTTGGCTTGTTCGGCGCGGCCCACAGCGTGGGCTGCAAGATGATGTTCGGCGGCATACTGACTCAGCCCGAACACGCAAACTCACATCAGGAGAACGTTGATCCCTTTTAAGTTCTTTTCAGTCCTTCGGATGAAGGAGAAAGCCTCCGTCTGAGGGAGCCCGGGAAGGAGGGGTGCTGCGGGACTTTGAGT